ACACGAGGGAAATCTTCTGGTAATTCATATAGATGCTGGAAAATTTGTGTTTTCACAGAGATTCAAAAAAAAATCCAATACAAACACTTAAAAACAAGTGGTTTCTTCTGTGCTTTCACAGAGATCCAAAGATTTTTAATTAAAACTATTTTTTCATCGCCAGGCTCAGCGATCTCAGAGATTTTACTGATTGTCCTACTACGGATATTGTTTTATGAAAGCGCTGCGAATACACAGGTATTCTTATTCTTTTTATTAGAAAAGCATTGAACACCCGGTGTCTTCACAGAGATTTAAAAACTCTGTGTGAAATTCTTAAGAATCTCTGTGAAAGCACCTGGTTCCCAATGCTTTTCTATCTTTAAGACTAAAACAAACTGTGTTTTCACAGCGCTTTCATAAAAAACAAAAAAAAACAATACCCATAGTTGGGAAACCATCATAATCTCTGAGATTTCTGAGCTTGGCAATGAAAAGCGATGTAAAAAATAGTTGAATCTCTGTGAAAACACAAATGGAACCAATTGTTTTTCTTCATTGTTTTATTGGAAATTATTTTGATCTCAGTGAAACCACAATGTTTCCAGTCTCTATACAAATTACAATAGGATTCCCTTCTGGGCGGAATACACTTGGATTATCTTTATGGCGGAATACAGAAGGATTCCTTGTGGCGGAATGCAAAAGAATCCCCTTTGTGGCGAAATGCGAAAGGATTCCATTGTGTGGCGGAATACAAAAGAATTCCTTTTGTGGAGGAATGCGAAAGGATTCCCTTCATGGCGGAATACACAAGAAGTCTTTTTGTGGTGGAGTACGAAAGGATTCCCTTTGTAGTAGAAGACAAAAGGATTCCCTTTGTGGCGAAATACAAAGGGATTCTTTTTACAAATAAATGCATAAGGCTGGGGGCCAAAAGCGCCCCTGGGCTTTTTTTTTTTTTTTTTTTTTTTTTTTTTTGTTTTTTTGTGTATTTTTTGACATCTTCTATTTTTCGTCAAAAATCCCCTCTGTAGGGGGACACGCCCGTCTTAAGGCAAGCTGGTCCGGCGTGAATCCGCGGAGGTCCGTCGGGCCCTGGTCGCCGCACGGGGTAGAAGCAGGGAGGGATTCCCTGATGACCCAGACGCGCCAGGCGGTGGTGACGCAAGCGTGGACCGAGCTGGGGCCGAGCACGGCAGCCACCCGAGAGGCCAGGGCAAGCTGTCCAACGCCGGCCCCCGCGGCTGAGACTGCCCCAGCAGCGAAACCGGCAGTGGCGCGATGCTTCGGCGGTGGGGAGCTCGCGGCGCTCGCAGGGCCTTCGGAGCGGGGGCGGGTTTTGGCGCTGGTGGCGGCGGGTGGCGGTGCCCTGGCGTCGTGAGCAACTGGGGCGTGGATGCGCGGCGAGGGGCGCGCGGCGCGCGCCCCGCGTTCGCGGGGCACCGTCGACAGGCCGCGAGCGTGGGCCGCGGCATCTCGGCTGCCGCGCCCGGGAAGCGATGGGAGCCCACCCTTATGATGCGGGTTGACTGCATGACTCTTCGAGTATGCGATTGACTACAGAAGTATTGATCTACACCGAGATTGACTGTTTCACCGCATCTGCTAAAAACTAAGCGGCATTTTGCAGATCTGCGAAGGCTCGACGAGTAAGGCAATATCGGGGCTCTGCGTGGTCGCAGCAGCGGCGGGCGCGGTCGCGCTGGTCCGAGGTCGCAGCGGCTGGAAAACCTGCGCCGGCGAGTTCGCTGCACTTGCCCTCGTCCTGGCCCTTGCCTCGTCCTTGCCCTTGCCCTCGTCCTCGTCCTTGTCCTCACTGGCGTCCTTGTCCTCGTCCTTGCCCTGCCTGCGCCACCCCGGGAGAGAGGCTGCCGCGCAAGAGGGCCCGCCGCGCCGCCCCGGTGCCGAGCGGGGGGCGCTCGTGCTCCCACGCTGGCGGAAGGCCTCGCTGGCTGAGCGCCGGGTAGCCAGTGTCGATCCAGAGGTCGGCGAGGAAGACTTTTTTCGGGGGGGGAGGAGATGGAGAACCGCCGCGAAGCTCCACAGGCTGCCACAACGCGCCCGCTGCCTGTTGAAAGCGCCAGCCAGGGCGCCAGAGGTCGGCGAGGAAGACCGCGAGATGTCGCTCGGAGCAGGAGCCAGGGTCGGCGGCAACTTCGCCCTGCCAGCGCTCGGCGGCGTGGAGGCGTCTGCAGTGCGCGCCCCATCTCCGCCATGCGGCCTCCGAGCCCTCGACGAGGTACGCCACGAGAGCAGGGAGGCGGTGCCTCGCGCATGGAAGGCGGGCTCGCAGCGGGCCAACGCCGCAGCGTGCTCGAGCGGCGCGGGCGGCTGCTGGTCGTCGGCGTCCGGTGGGGCGCTGGGGGGGGGGGGGCCCGGGGTCGACCCACGGCCGCTCCGTGCCCTCGGGGGGGCCGCGGGCGACCCCGGCGGCTTCGAGCAAGAGGCAGATCTGGCAGCAGCCCGCAGCACCGTCGGCAGGCCACTGCTGGACCACAAGGGGGGAGGCAGCCCGCCATTGCGCTCAGGACCTGGTCGTCTGCGTCGGGACTCCAGCCGGGTCTCCGTGAGGAGGGCGAGGCGCGACGGCGCGCGACATCATCGGTGAGGACGCCGAAGCCAGCCAAGACCATGCCGAGTGCGTCGCGGCCGCCAGCGCGGCAGGGCGCCGCGAGGCCGAGGAGGGCTTCTGGGCACTTAGTTCTCGACAGTGCTGAGGTCGCCTGGGGGGAGGGCCCGGTCGTCGAGCTCCCGCGCGGCGGCCAGCCCGAAGAGGCCGCAAGCCGCAGGCCAGGTGCGGCGGGGACCCGAGCAGCTGAGCAAGCGGGGCGGGAGGGTCGACCGGAGGGAGCGGGGCAGTGGCAGGTTAAGGCGCGGCGCCGAGATGCGGGTGCTGCGCTTCTTGGGGTCGGAGTAGCGAAACCTGGAGGGACAGAACTCCGCACAAACATCACCTGTTGGAGGTCCGGGCGAATTTCTTGGATCTGCGCTGGCCCCCCAACCCCTCTGGCGGCGCCTCGCCGGCGCGCTCTGCGCGCCGGCGAGGGCGGTCTAACAGCTGCATCTCGGCGCCGCGCCGAGTCCCCTCCCTCCTCACGACGGCGACCTGCCACTGCCCGCTCCCTCCGGTCGACCCTGCCGCCCCGCTGGCTCGGCTGCTCAGTTTACCGGCGAGGCACCGTGATCGCCTGGACGAAGTCGCCGTGGAGCAGCCGATCGCTGTCGGGGCCGTCGTGCCGCAGGAGCCCCGCATGGGTTGGATATTCTGCCCGAGCTTGGACAGGACCTTGCGGTCGAGGTCGGAGGGATGGATGGGACACACACACAGAGACATACTAATACCATATGTCCTCCTTGGAGGCGCGCGTCCGACCCGAATATATACTATACCCATCTTGTAGTACATCGTTTCCCGAGCGGTGTGGCCAGAAAGCGCCCGCCACGGCGTGCATACTATTCTCGGTGCGCGCGTCGCCCCTGGGGGGGGGCGACGCTCACATTCCATTGGTATAGTCAACCCGGATGATAAGGATGCGCGATAAGGATGCAAGGGCCTTGGACGCCCATTTCGAAGCGTTTCGAAAGGGGCGCGGCCAACGAAAGTGTCCAACGATGGACCCAGGAGGCAAGGATGCAAGGGTACCCTTGGGAGGGATGCCTATCCTTACTCTGCGGGTCGACTGTATGTTGGAGTGACGCCGAACGGAGGGGATGGTTGTCGGAGGAGGAGGAGGCGGAGGAGGAGGCGGAGGAGGAGGGGGAGGAGGGGGAGGGGGGGAGGAGGGGGAGGAGGGGGAGGAGGGAGGGAGGGGGAGGAGGAGGAGGGGGAGGAGGAGGGGGGGAGGAGGAGGAGGGAGGAGGGGGGGTGGGGAGGAGGAGGAGGAGGAGAGGGGGAGGAGGAGGAGGAGGGGGGGAGGAGGGGGGATGGAGGGGCTGTTCGGCGGCCGTTCTACAGCTGCGGGTGCCCAGGGCAGAGCGCAGGCCCGCACGCCGAGGAGCGCGGGGCACCGAGCGGTGCGGCTCGGCCGCGGTCCTCCGCGGCCGAGCACGTCGGCCGAGGGGAGGCCCGCGGAGGGAGGCAGCGAGCGCCCTCTGCTGCGGGCGGAGGGAGGACGCCTCCTCCTCCTCCTCCTCCTCCTCCTCCTCCTCCTCCTCCTCCTCCTCCTCTACTCCTCCTCCCCTCCTCCCCCTCCTCCCCTCCTCCTCCCCCTCCTCCCCCTCCTCCCCCTCCTCCTCCTCCTCCTCCAGGCCCGCGGAGGGAGGCAGCGAACGCCTTCTGCTGCGGGGCGGAGGGAGGACGCCTGCGTCTGCTTGTCCTGGCGTCCCCTCTCGGCTCGGGTGTCCCAAAACCGTGTGGTGACAGACCCGGCGGTGCCCTCGAAATCCGCAAAGACCACACCGCACGGTCCGTCACCACACGGCTTTGGGACCCTGGAGGCTCCAGTCGCCCGAGACATCCTCGGAGAACGACCCAAGTCCCAAAACCGTGCGGTGACCCCGAATCCCCACCGACTCACCACACGGTGTGGTCACCACCCCGTTTGGGAGCCCCCGATCGGCGACTCTTGGGACGCTGAGGCCGGCATCACCGCGGCCGATCTGGGTGAGGGACACACACACCAGACGTTCTGTACACACACACACACATCGTACGCGATCCGCGCACACTACCAGCTTGAAGCGACTACGCATTCAGGACACACGTCACGCAAGGCATGGATCACTAAGTTGCCCATGCACGTCAGGACACATGACAACGATAACATCGCACGCAGTCAGCATACAATAACAGAGCAACGGCATGAAACACCTTTGCATGACAGGCACTGTGCACGAGCTGTCTAGGGCGAGATGCTGACATTCGCCAGCCTCCACGAAACAATAAACACTGCATGCGCTGCATTCGGCAAAGCGTCCAACCATCGCAGGCTGCAGCACAGCGCCTTTATAGAAAACCGCAAGGTGGGTGGACGAACGAACGAAATGACGTATGCGACTGCAGCAAGGGAAGGGCATACATCCATTCCTTCGCAGCGTCGATCGCGCTGTACTCCAGGCCGCCTGCCCCACCCGATCCCCCCATCAATCATTACATCCCCCTCTTCTTGCTCCTCCTCCTCTCCTCCTCCTCATTACCTCTGCCCCCCGTCCTGCTCCTGCTCCTACTCTTCTTTCTCGTCCTACGACTGCTCCTTATCTGGCCTCCCCTCCCTCTGTGTTTCATCATCCTGATCACCATCTGCCCATCTGCCCATCATCATCATCATCAGAAAGAGCGTGTTCTACCGCTGCTGGCGGAAAACCGGGGGGGGTCACTACCGGTTCGAACCCCTCCCACCCCTCCCCCCCCCCCCCCTCCAGAAAACCGGGGGGGTCACTACCGGTTCGAACCCCTCCCCCCCCCCCCCAGCTCATCATGAAAAGGGGGGGGGTCACTACCGGTTCGAACCCCCCCCCCCCCCTCGAAAACCGAGTGGGGGTGCGGACAGTGGTGGGGACGGTGTTGGTGGGGACAGTGGTGAGGGGACAGCGGGACAGTGGTGGGGACAGTGGGGGGACAGTGGGACAGTGGTGGGGACGGTAGTGGTGGGGACAGTGGTGGGGACAATGGTGGGAACAGGGGGGACAGTGGACAGTGGTGGGAACGGTGGTGGTGGGGACAGTGGTGTGGGGACAGTGGGAATGAGGTGGAAACACTGGGACAGTGGAGGGTACAATGGTGGTGGAGACACTGGTAAAGGCGGTGGCGAGGACGGCGGTGGGACAATGGGACAGAGGTACAGTGGGGACAGTGGTGGGGACAGTGGGGACAGTGGTGGAAACAGTGGGACAGCTCAGTGGGACAGCGGAGGAGTCAGTGGGACAGTGGGGACAATGGGGATAGGCAGTGGTTGGGTCCGTGGAGACAGTGGGGAGAGTGGAACCGTGGTGGGAACAGTTGTGGGAACAGTGGGGACAGTGCGACAGTGGTGGGGGCATTGGTGGGGACAATAGGGACGGTGGTGGAACCAGTGGGGACAGTGGTGGTGAGGACAGTGGTGCTGGGAACAACAGTGGGGGATGTGATGCGAGCGGTGGTAGGGACCGGGAGTCGTTTGCTGGCGGTGCGTGGGGAGGGGGGTCGAACCGGTAGTGACCCCCCTCCGGTTTTCGAGGGGGGGGGGGGGGGGGGTCCAACCGGTAGTGACCCCCCCCGGTTTTCCGGATCCGGAGGGGGGGGGGGGGGGGGGGGGGAGGGGTTCGAACCGGTAGTGACCCCCCCCCGGTTTTCGAGGGGGGGGGGGGGGGGGAGGGGTTAGGGGAGGGGGGGGGTTTGCCGGGAGGGAGGGCGGGGGGGGGGGGGGGGAGGGGTTCCGGCAGGGGGGGGGATTTTCGGAGGGGGGGGGGGGGGGGAGACCCCCGGGTTCCGGAGGAAAAGGTTGGCAATTTTCCACAGTAAAGCGGCGGTGGATCACGCTCTCTCATCATCATCATCATCATCATCATCATCATCATCATCATCATCATCATCATCATCATCATCATCATCATCATCATCATCATCAGCATCATCATCATTATCATCATCGTCGTCATCATCATCGTCACCAGCAGCATCATCCGTATCATGACCATTAACAGTAGCATTACCATTATCATCAGCAACAGCAGTATCAGCATCAGCAACATCCTCCTCCTCCTCCTCATCATCACCATCAGCATCGTCGTCAGCATCGTCATCATCATCGTCATGATCACCACCAACATCAGCATCATAAGTAGCAGCATCGTCATCACCATCACCATCATCATCATCATCATCATCACCATCAACATCATGAATCCCATCATCAGCATCGTCAGTATCATCAACATAATCATCACCACCAATCGCATCATCATCATTCTCATTAGCACCAGCAACATCATCATCATCATCATCAGCAGCAGCATCATCATCACCGCCAGAATCGTCACCATCGCTATCACAGTCACCGTCACCATCAGATGATTCATCCCCATTCCTTCCTCATTCTTGCACTCCTCACTCCTCCATTATTCCAGATCCCCACGGCGAAACCTCGGTTTCCCCCAGCACGTGGAGCAAAGCGACGGGCGGCGGGCCGGGGAGGGGGGGGGAGGGGGAGGAGAAAGAGAAGGAGCAGGAAAGCAAGAGGGAGGGGGATGATTCTCCTTCCTTTTTGTCCAATCCTCCTCCTCCAACTCCACTCCTCCTCCTCTCCTCCTCCTCCTCCTCCTCCTACCTCCTCCTCCTCCTCCTCCTCTCCTCTTCTCATGCCACTATTCCCCCTCCTCTCTCCCCTTCTCCCTCCTCCCCCTCCCCCCCCACCCCCCCTCCTTTGATTCTTCCTCCGTCCACCCCCTCTTGGGATATGATGGCTCCTCCTCCTCCTCCGTCTCCTCCTCCTCCTTCTCCTCCTCCTCCTCCTCCTCCTACTCTCCTCTTCTCCTTCTACTCTTCCTCCTCCTCTTCCTCCACCTCCTGTTCGTCCGTCTCCTCCTCCTCCTCCTCCTCCTCGTCGTCCTCCTCCTTGTCCTCCGTCTCATCCTCCCACTCTCCTGCTCCTCCTCGTCCTCCTCCTCCACCCCCTCCACCTCCTCCTCCTCCTCCTCGTCCTCCTCCTTTCCTCCTCATCATCAGAATATTAACTTTAATAATGATAACACGAGTGCTGAAGATAGTATCAATAATTCAAATACTAATAAACATCACCACCATTATCATCTTCATCCTCATCCCCCCCCTCATCATCATCGTCATCGTCATCATCATCATCACCACCATCACCATCATCACCCTCGTCTTCACCATCTTCTAAATCCTCCTCCGTTCCACCATCGCCAGCACCCTCAGCAGCAACGTCATGCCCTCATCACCGCCAGCACCGCTATCATCATTCGGACCTCCTGCTCCTCCGTTCCCCCCCCCCGCCGGGTGTGCCCGGCGGCGCCGAGCCAAGGAATATCGCGCAGGTCTGCAGGGCGAGACGCAGGATCCCGCCCATCTTGACCTTCTCTCGGC